TATATATATATATATATATATATATATATATATATATATATATGAGTTTAAATGTTTGTATATGAACTTTTAGATGTATGTTTATGAATGTTTGGACACCATCCTCTTACAATTTTTAAAAGTAAATTCTACCCATAAATTATTACTAAAACAATAATTATTCTCAACTTCAAAGGAATCACCTCACTTAAAGGTTAGGACAAATTTGAAATAGCAGTATAAACAAATTCGACTTGTTTATCTCATGAATAATTTTTAAGTGAGTTTTTTAATCACGGGTTTACGAGCTAAGATCGAATAACTTGTATAAAAATAATTGTATTGACAGATCTAGCCACAAGGAAGATTCTAGTTTTGACCAAAAAAAAAAAAAAATTTCTAGTTTTTTGCCCAAGATGTGTGGAAGACTTGCGATTGGTTGCTGTCATTTACTTCGCAAATGACTCTTTCAAGCCATTTTAATACTAACGGCAAAGACTTCCACTGGTCCCCAGAATAAGTTCTCATTTTCAATTCTCAGGTTGAGACATGACAGTCTCAATCAATCAGGGCTAAAACATAAATAAATAAATAACGAAATAATTCTGAAAAATACGTCCGTAAATGTGTCACGTGTAGAATACTTATATTTTATTTTAGTATTTATTCGATCAACGATTACATGTCATTCAATATCGAATCAAAGAGTTGAGACGGGTGAAACAACGATACTCGAGTTGGGTACCATATCCTAATTAAGGGTGGGGCGGCTTCATAGGGATGGACTTCAGTTACTATACAAAATTATCTCGTTGGACTACGCCCACATCATGGCATATAGCTGCTAGAAGAAAATAGGAAAAAAGGTCCGCAAGTCTCATAAAGTAGGTATAGAAGAAGAGAGGTTTTGTTTCTTATTACCACTGTTTATTAGTCCGTATTCTTTTCACAATAGATTTTATTAATTTTATTTTGTTAATTTCACTACAGATTCTTTTCACATACCGTGCGTTATTAGATGACCCACGTGTGTATAATGAATTATATTTGTACCAATGGTACTTGATCCAAGAATAATTTACGTTTTAATTTTTAACTGTAGTAAACTTTTATATTTGTTGTGCTTAATCTTTTAACTGTAGTAAATTTACTCACATTTTACCCTCAATAATTTATTTTTTTAACATTTCAACCATAATTAAAAAAAAAAAGTACACACTAGTCGAGCATTATACGGACAACTACTGTATGTCCCAGTAACCAACGATTTAATCTCAAGCAAACCACTAAATTTTGATATTTCTAACTTGAACTTTGATTCGAGCACAATCAAAGATGGAGCTCGAAGGATTTTGGAATGCCACTACTGTATGGCCCAGTAATCAACTGCTCAATTTTAAAAATACGACATCCGTTTCATTTTAAGAAGTTTGTAAAATATGACATACTAGTCAAAGTCAATAAGCTTCACAAATCTCTATTACTCCAAGAAGGTGAATATGATTAATAATTAATAATTATTTCAATAATTGTGCCTAACAAAGCCACCATTTTCGACAAGTTCTATGTGAGTTGTATACTTGTCTGACTTCAATTGGAGACCACAAAAACCACACTAGCAAATTTTAGAAAAGGAAGAGAGTGTCGTTTAAGATAAACCTATTTTAAAGGAGGTGTAAATGAAATTTTCTCTACAAAAAATATAAAAGGGTATTTGAGTCAATTGCGGCCAATTTTTTTTTTTTTTTTTTATTTGACGTTTTGACATGGTACTAGGGGCAACACTTAATTGAATTCAAGCATTGACATTTCGTTAGTGAAAACATGTCTATCTTTTCCTTTGTCCTTTTCATGGTGGACCCCGCTTAGCAGATTGGTGGAGGCTGGTAGATTGGAATATCTCTACGTTTTCCTCTCTGCTTCCTCTCTTTTTCTCAGAATTTTTTGGTGTAATAACTTTTTTTATTTTCTTTTGTGGTTTAGCCTCTGTAAATAATCATAGTGGAGGAATTTGGCCCTGTTATAATGACGAGGGTCTCCTGTACCAGATACGCCTGCGCCTTAGTGCCATAATACGAAGTCATAAAAAAAGAAAGAAGCCCAAGAAAGTTCATCGTTTACAACTCTTCAAAATATCTTTAGATTCTGAAATTTGTTTCTAATTTGCAAAGATCATTTTTTTAATTTTTTTTTCTAACTGGGTGTTAAATAGACTCTTTCTCTCACATCTGGGGGGTTTGGACTTTGGAGCATCATCTGATGGGCAACTGTTTAGATTCTTCAGCTAGAGTCGATGCAGCCTTCAGCTCCCACACAACTTCTGGTACTAGCATCTCTCCTCTTTCTCTATGTATGTGCCTGTATTCATCTTTATCTGTCTTGTGTTTGTTCAAGCAATTGTAACTTTTTCTTGCGCAGCTTGATATACAATTACATAATTACTTTAGTACTAACCATATTGTTGCCTCGGTGGTTTTTTAAAAGGGTTTTGATGAGCATAAGATCACTATTTCTGGCAAAAAGGTTCTTCTTTTTGTTTAAAAGTATTTCGCCCATAAGTGCATAGCTGTTTTCTTTTCGGAAAGTGTCATAAGTGCATATCTTGACTTGCTGTAGATCAAACGAAACTAAGTTCATTTGGATTGAAGAGAAAATTTTTGTGGGTGTTCCCTCAATTTGTTCTTTCCTTTGGTTTTGACATTGGTTTAATTGTCTTGGCACAAGGTTTGGTTTTTCCCTTTCCTCCTTTTTTATGTGAGCATTAATATTCAGCTATTTTTGTTTTGAATTTTTGAGAAGATATGTAATAAATATTCTTATTTTTATTTTGGTTGGTTTTCGTCCTTCAATCATGTAACTGACAAATTTTTTTTTTTGGCTTTTTTTTTGTGTGGAGGGTTTGGAGTTTTCATTAGGTAACTGAATCTATCCTGCTCTGTTTGGGTCTATGTTTTAGTGGAAGATAGCTATGTTTAGTTTGTCACTTCTTAATCATTATGGTGTACATAATCATTTTTTTTCCCCGATTGTGCTTGAGGATTTCAGTTCATCAATAGATTGTCAATTTTGAAAGAATTGATGATTTATTTGCAGTAAATAAACATTGATGGCTTCAGGAAATTCGCACTTTTGGTAACATATTTCTGACTTTTTCATGGAATTTTACAACTGAGTGGTCTCGAAAAAGTTGAAGTATTTTTGTTCTTTCTTAGTCTCGGAGACTATGTCAAACATTCTTTGAGGGACATAGAGGATGAAGACTCAAGGAAAGGTAGAAGATATATCTTCAATTTATGGATGTAAACTTGGATTGGACTGACTAGTAACATTTGTGCAAAGGAGAGAAAATTGTAGCCTTATCTAATTCTGGATAAATTGGGTGGGCTGTTACAAATAATAAAAGGAGTTTTTCCAATCACATATAATAGTTTGGCTTAAATGCAGAGCAGCAGCTCTTTTGTAGCATCTCACTGGATTGTTAAATGTTTTAGACCACGCTGCTGCCAGTGTTTTGAATTCTTCTTTTCATATTAGACAGCTGCCAATAGTTTTGGCGTGGTTTCTATTGGTGCAAACTATGCCAGGAATATCATTTTTGACAACCTTGCTGATATGATAGTAGTGACAATGAATCCAATTATAAAAATTTACAGGCGTTGACATTCTTCTATTCATGATGGTAAAGACTTCGTATTTGAATGGTACATCTTTATGTAATCTCTATTCTGAAAAGAATCTAAGGAACTAACTTGAGAGAAAAGTATCAATAGTTTGTATCGTAGATTGGATGATCGTTTCTGAGTTTTATTTGTGCATGCTTGAAGTCCCTACTCAACTAATATATGCAATTGCATGCAACTTTACATTTTTCATCTCCTTTTTCTGCAGCATCAGAAGCCACAAGAATTTCCACCAAAAAAAGAAATTCTTTAGCTCCTTCCAGCTTGACCATTCCATCTTACACTGAGAAGAGCAGTCCTAGGGGTCTTCCTACTCCAAGATCTGAAGGTGAAATACTGTCGTCCCCTCATGTGAAAGACTTTTCATTTAATGAATTGAAGAATGCGACCAGAAACTTCCGTCCCGACAGTCTTCTTGGTGAAGGTGGATTCGGTTATGTTTTTAAAGGATGGATCGATGAACACACACTTACTGCTGCAAAGCCTGGATCTGGAATGGTAATTGCTGTCAAGAAACTTAAGCCTGAAGGTTTTCAAGGCCATAGGGAGTGGTTGGTATGTTTCCTCTCTGGTATCCTTATTAATTACTTTGCATGTTTTTCCTGTTGTCCCGATTATTGATAGAAAAAGTTTGCAGACAGAAGTTAATTATCTGGGGCAACTACATCATCCAAATCTGGTAAAACTTATTGGGTATTGCTCGGAAGGTGACAACCGGCTGTTGGTGTATGAGTTTATGCCAAAAGGGAGCTTGGAGAATCATCTTTTTAGGAGTAAGTTTTCCGTAGTCAACTTTTCACTTTTTCAGGAGGCTTAGTTGGTTAGTGCCCCTTCTTACTCTATTTTCATAAACAATCATTAATATTTGCCAGCCAGTTCCAGCTGAGACATCATCATCGATTCCTTCCTGCCTTATGTTACTCGTTGTCAATCTTCTATTTCTTTAAGTTTTTCCATTTTCATTCTCCATTGGTCTCTCATCTCCATTTGTGTGCTAGAAATAAATAACCATCAAAAATATTTTGATTGTTTGGAAAAATGCCCTCAGTTAATTTGGTGCATAGTGTTTGATTGAGCCTATGTGGAGTACAAGATGGTACCCCGATCCCTCCTTATCTCCTCCTCTCTTAAATTTACTCAAGAAATCTATGCATTTTTTTTTTTTTTTTGCTTTTTCATGATTTGGTCCTCCAATACAATTGGATTGATGACAAATCTTAGTTATGTTTCTCCCATAACTAAGCAATGGCTTCTATACCAGATTGATGAAATCCTTGATGTACGGCTCTAAGGTTATTGAATTTTTAGAAGCAAATAAGTCATGTTCCATTTGAAGTTTTTTTTTTCCTTTCGTTTTTGTCATTTTATTTAATATACACATGAGATAAGTTTTTTTTTTTGCTAGTTTTCTTTGATTGGCGCCTGGATATATCTATGGCACATGCACAATTATAGCTACAATATCATGGAGACAAATGTTTATGAGTCTTTCCATTTCGCTATTGCAATTTTTAGCTGTTCATGATGGACCATGCACATGGTATCGAACTTCTGGGTATGTGTCTGTAAAAAATGTGCTGACTTTGGATGCCATTTTTGTTTCAGGGGGACCTCAGCCACTTTCTTGGGCAACAAGGATCAAAGTTGCCATTGGTGCAGCTAGAGGCCTCTCTTTCCTACATGAAGAGCAAGTCATATATCGGGATTTCAAAGCTTCTAATATCCTTCTAGATGCGGTAGGTTGAGGAAAAGATATGCTTCCTTCCATTGCTTTGGAAGTTGTGGAATATGAAATTTACTGGTATTGTTGGCATGATAATCATATTATGTATTACATTGATGGGGCTAACATGCTTAGGGATGCAGGAATTCAATGCAAAGCTATCAGATTTTGGTTTAGCTAAGGCAGGGCCTACTGGTGATAGGACTCATGTATCCACTCAAGTAATGGGTACTCAAGGCTATGCAGCACCAGAGTATGTTGCAACAGGTCTGTCTATGTCTTTGCTCGTTTTAGTATTCTGAACTACCTTCGTAAATTGGTCGATGTAACCCTCACGTTGCACTAAATCTCTCACAAATGAACAGGTCGATTAACAGCAAAAAGTGATGTCTACAGCTTTGGGGTTGTTTTACTGGAATTACTGTCTGGACGGCGTGCCGTTGACAAAACAAAAGTTGGTGTAGAGCAGAATCTTGTGGACTGGGCAAAGCCATATTTGGGCGACAAAAGAAAAGTATTTCGGATTATGGACACCAAGTTGGAAGGCCAGTACCCCCAGAAAGGAGCTTACACGGCTGCTACAGTCGCTTTGCAGTGCCTAAGCACCGAGGCTAAGATAAGGCCACGAATGGCAGATGTTTTAGCAACCCTCGAACAGCTTCAAACACCCAAATATGCAGCCAAAAACTCCCAACCAGAGCATCAGACTGTCTCCAGTCCTGTCCAAAAGTCACCTTTGGGACAAAATCGATCACCTCTGAATTTGACGCCATTAGCATCCCCATTGCCATCTCACCGGCAATCTCTACGTGCACGGTGAGAGAGAGAAACATAACATGCGGTGGGGTATTCTGGTCTATCTTTATTTCTTACTTATTTGTCTGTTGTTTATATTCATATGTGGCTGTATGAGCATAGTTTTTAACTTAATTTTGCAATATGCCAAAAAACATGTCAACGTATGTATTCTATGAAGTTATATCGCCAGCTCTAGTTTTGTTCTTCACTAATAGTCCTTTTTTTATTTGTTTACCAATTTTTTCTTCTTCTTCTTCTTCTTCTCTCTCTCTCCCCCTCCTCCTCCTTCTGCCGAGGAGTTGCTTCAAGATCTATACATGGGATTGCAAATGATACAATGCTCCCAGATTAACCTGTCTACCATGCTTCCTTCTTCAATTTCCACTCTGCTACTGTGGCTGTTCCACAGGTGCACACCATAAGTCGCCCTGTTTAGCTGGTGCAGTTTGGCCTCCACCCAGTTTGACAGTTTCCGATCAGGTGGCCGTGAGAAAAACCCAGCTATCTTCGTCCAGCTGACCGGATAGAACGCCATAGGTGGCAAGACAGTAAACTTAAACTTCTGTGTTGTTGCCGCTCTCTTTACTACTCTGGAAACTAGGTAAGGTCCATTGTGTCCCCATCTATTTCCATTGAAGGTTGATGCAAATTCCTCCAAGAACATGTACAGAAGTGGGTGTTTTCTGTCAAAAACCAGAGCTGCATTGTTCAGTCTTGTCCAGTTGCCCGACTCATCGGTGCTTTGTGCTCCGATGGAATTCCTCAAACCCGAAAAATCTTTCAGAACTATAAAGTCGGTGTCCATGTAAACACCTCCATATTTGTACAAAACCGCCAGTCTGATCAGGTTGGATAGGTTCTGTGCCAATGGAATTTCACCAGGGTCCTTGTTTCCACTCTTGAGATCATCCAACCAAGATTTTGCCGGCGTGTTCTCCAGAAGAAAAGGCAAGTCCGGTGAGACTGCCATAGCCTTAAACCCGAGATTGAGCAGTGGTTTTAAGATCCTATTTCCAGCAACAGAATCCAGAGTTCTTGATAGAATCACCAAACATCCATGAGGGTTTGCTTTGAATAGACTTTCCATGGCCAGAAACTCTCTGTGTTCGAATGACCACGCAGGCGATATCCATGTCATGAAGAATCGAATTCGAACCCTGCACTTATGGCCAAAGAACTCTCTAACTCGAGCATCAAATTGCCGCGTAAATCTAGTTGAATATAAGATCTTGAACTCTGACAAGTTTTTCTTGAACCAGGCAATTCTTTCTTCTGCAGAAACATTGAGGGGAGACACCAAGTGACCATGATCTTCCCTATATGCTTCTGTATTCCCTTCTTCCGTTGCAGGCAAAAGTTCAGTCCTCGAAATCGCCTTCAATGGTTGCCGTGGCTCATAAGTATCCAGAACTTGAAGATTTCTTTCAGTTTCAAAGGCAACAGAATGGAGTGAAAGGTTGAAGATGAAGCTGACCGAGAATATAACAATGAAGAAAATCACAGCAAAGCAGAATATATGTAGTTTTACGCCGCATAATCGCCCATAATCCAACATTTTTTAAGGACTACTTCTCACTGTCACGGAGGAAAGGGGGGGGGGGGGGTCAAAGAGAAGCTTTCATGGGTGGTCCGAGCCTTAGTGCTAATATATGTACATGTTGCCCTCTTTTACGATAAGATTTTCGGAGTTCTTTTCTTGAAACATATTTCAACTCTTCGAAACATTACGAAATAGTTATAGAAACATGTTGATATATCTAAAAATACCTTAAAAACACAAACGTTTCGAGACGTTCAAACCTCGAATGGTATGGAAAATATATATGAAAAAATGAATGCGACCAACTTGGACTGCCAACCCTAGGGAAAAGGTCCATTTCCTATGAAACCTTTAAACACTGGTTATGAGTTATGACTGAAAAGGCCTACAAAACTCATTTTTCCTTGGAGGAGTTATTTTATCAGTGTGGTACAAGTTCAACAACTTCAATGGAGTCTAGCTAGGATTTCAATGTGTATTTAGGGGCGGAGTTAGGAAATTATTATTTAGCCGTTTAGACACTTTAACAATGCATTGCTNGGGGGGGGGGGGGGGGGGGGGGGGGGGTCAAAGAGAAGCTTTCATGGGTGGTCCGAGCCTTAGTGCTAATATATGTACATGTTGCCCTCTTTTACGATAAGATTTTCGGAGTTCTTTTCTTGAAACATATTTCAACTCTTCGAAACATTACGAAATAGTTATAGAAACATGTTGATATATCTAAAAATACCTTAAAAACACAAACGTTTCGAGACGTTCAAACCTCGAATGGTATGGAAAATATATATGAAAAAATGAATGCGACCAACTTGGACTGCCAACCCTAGGGAAAAGGTCCATTTCCTATGAAACCTTTAAACACTGGTTATGAGTTATGACTGAAAAGGCCTACAAAACTCATTTTTCCTTGGAGGAGTTATTTTATCAGTGTGGTACAAGTTCAACAACTTCAATGGAGTCTAGCTAGGATTTCAATGTGTATTTAGGGGCGGAGTTAGGAAATTATTATTTAGCCGTTTAGACACTTTAACAATGCATTGCTTATCCTTAGTTACTCTAACGAGCAGTGGGAGAATAAACTAATACATACGAGTAGTTTGCGTAAACTTACCCAACTTGCACATAGTGTCCTTGCTTGAAGGGAATGTGTTTTTCATTAATTCAAACAAGAAAATGACATCTTTAAAAAACTTAAATGTTCTCAACTTTTGACCCAACACTTCCCTCATTTTCAAGTTTCTTCTATGAAAGAAAGTGTCACACCAAAGATAAGCACAAGTGCCTATTGATTTTGTTGTCAACCAGATCACAAAAAATTTGCAAAAGCTGAAGAAAAAAGAGAAATCACATCATACACAAGGTTATATACATGGTCCGACTCAAAAACTGACATGTACATATATCCACAGGTGAAAGACGATAGCAAAAGCGTACTACGACGAACGACACAAATTAAAAAGTAAAAGAATAAAAGTCTCCAATGTCACGAAAATATAATATTTTGAAATAAAAGCATTGTCACAAAATTGCGATAGCTATAAGAACCAAAAACTTTTATTTGATGATGGCAATAGATTCCAGTTCCTAACCGAATCACATTTCTAGTTCTTGAAATTTTTGTACTCATATCGAAACAATTTTTTTTAGCAGATCGGATACAAATAAGAGCAGAATACAATATTTCCAAGACAGATTCTTGCAAACAAACTGATGCAGTTATTGGCAAACATCACATTCTAAATTTGTACTAATAAGACAAAGGTCCAAACAAACAAAGGTGAAAAATATAATTATACACTAAAATTTCCACGTATTTTTTGTATGCATTATTCTTTTTTTGTTTAGCTACAAGGTATTCAGATTTGCGCCGACAACTCGAGAGAGTTTTGAGATTAGTTAACGTAACTCGAGTTGATTTAAACACATGTCCCCTAAAAAACAACGTGGCTGACCTTTAAAGTGTTGGTTTTTTGTGGAATCTAGTTTGTATATGTGATCCGGATGATGACCTGACCCGAAATAATGTTGTGTGATTTTTTAATGAAAAATTTTCTGAGGCTTAGTCCATGAGCGCTACGGCTTGGGCCCCCGAGGAAAATTTTTGGGCCCGTTATATAGCCCAGTGCGTAAGACATATAAAACTCGTTATTTTGGTGATTAGGGTTAATATGGTGGATTGTACAGCCGCTCTCTGTATTCAACTCTCTCAATAGTGAAATCCCTGCAGCTTCGTAGACGTAAGCAAATTGCCGAACTACGTAAAATCTGTGTCTTGTTCTTTCTTGTTTCTTATTGCTTTATATTTTTGATTTGTTCTTCAATTGTGTGTGTTTGTTAGTGGATTTAAATTATTGTCAAATCTCAACAACTGGTATCAAAGCTCTAGGTTAAGAGGTCAAGGGTTTACACAATGACAGAAGACAAACTTAAGATCGAAAAATTCAATGGCACGAACTATGCATTTTGGAAGATGCAGATGGAGGATATTCTATATTAGAAGGATCTTTATAAACCTATCGATGGGAAGAAGCCAGC